GTTTTACTGGTAGAGCCAGCGCAGTGTCTTACTGTAGGTGGAAATTTCACCTGTTGAAGCAGCAATGGCTTCAATTCAACATCTGAGAGAGTTTATCAGGGACAGACTGACGGCTGCTGCTGAAGATATCTTCTCAGAGTTTGAAAAAACCATCGTCCAGTACGAGCGTCAGCGCGAACTGCAGGACATCACCTGGAACCCCGTGTTAAAGCTCCAGCGGACAGGTGAGTCAGACTGTGCGACTGGAGTGTGTTTGAACCCGGAGAGAGAGAGGGAGGGGGAGAGCTAGCAGCCAGCAGCGGACGGGCAGAGAGGCTAACGGAGAAGCCCTGAGAGCGCGAAGAACAAACTAGAAGCTCGTGTCAGGCACACATGTACAGCAGCGTCACCAGAACACGTTACTGTACGAAAAAAGGCTCGTTATTGATTTTTATTCTTTCAAAATTTTCCCGCCGTTTGTTGAAAAATCCGTTAAAGTGAACGGGAAGGCCAGAGTAACCAGACACACAAGTTTAATGAAAAACATCAGCTTCCACCTGCCCACGCGCGCACAATTTTCACTCTACAGCCACCATTTTACAATCAAATCGTAGGAAAATGTGTTTTCTTTCCAACAACGTCTCCATCAAAGCCAACAGGTGTATGCTTTCTTAGACTGGAGGCGTTTAAACAAGAGGAGTGCTTTCCCAATGCCCAGTTAACGACTAATAATTTCATGAAGGTTTTTAGAGAAAACACCCTGTTTTTCTCTCGCTCCCCCGGCCACACTTTTAACACCAGGCCTACTAGAATGTACATCAGTGTAGAAGAGCTTCTTGGGATTCTCACACTTTTTAAATCAGCCTGACATGATTTATTGTTTGGATTTTATGAGTCGTTTTGTGATAGCAGTACCAAACCCATTTCACAGGCAGTTGGCCTATGCCATCACCATGGCAACACAACTGCTCTCCTCTGACACAGGTGCATGTCATTATCTGATTGGCTGATTTGAATCTGCTGCCTGTCTTTCGGTGATTGGCTGAAATATTTATCCTGTTTCACCTCAAATCACTGGGCAGCTGATGAAGCACATCATGTGTGCCACTTTTATAGGTACACCTGCTTCCTCGGTCACTTTATTAAGTACACCAGTGCACAGGGTCAGTCCTGGCAACTTTACTAGGAACATCCATTGCCACTTTATTAGGTATAGTACTGTGATAGCCAACCACTTTTTAGGGCCCATCTTCTTTCGACTTTTGTGCCCAACCTGCTTATCTCCAATCTTTCAGCAGCAAGCCACAGACCATGTCCAGCACCAGCAACAATCCTGCAGATTCTGCAGAAATCTCCAGAAATTCTTGTATTTACATTTAGAGCTCTAAATGAACAAGCTTCCGACTGTTTATCTCACTTTCTTATGAAACACGATGCTGCTCACAGTCTTTGTTCCTCCTTTGAGTCGGAGCCTTTCTCCAGCCTCTGGGACCACTGCTCTGGAAGAATCTCCCACTGTATGGACTCAGTTAAAAGTCTTTTTGCTTGGCGAGGTTTTCTGTTGTGCTTCTCATTGATATAATGGTTATCTGTTTTCTTGGTTTTGCATTCCTGTTAACTGTATTTCTCGTTGTTTTTAATTATTGTGTTGTGCAGCATTAGTGACTCCGTGTCTGTGAAAACACTTTATTAATAACCGTTACTTACTGTTTCATAACTAAATATTGGTAATTAGTGTATCTGCAGTTAATACTGTGGATCCGTTGGGGTGAGCCATATGTCTAAATGTCCAAGTCATGATCCAAACATGGTCATCATAAACCGAAGAACAGTTTTTACATCTATTCTGGAAAAATAATGTGTGTACTGGCTTTGACTGCTTGGTAACACAAATATCTAGACAGTGCACTTAGGCATGGAAGAAATGACCTGCTGAAGTTCAAACAGAGATACTATTAGCATGAGGAAGAGACCTGGATGGTCTGACTGTTTCACAACTCCAGATCTGCATCTTTAAATACACAAAAGCTTGACCTTAATTGAGATGAACTACAGCAGCAGAAAAGCACACCAGGTGGTGTTGTGATGATATAGGAGATATTTTCTTGGCACACTTTAGGCCTTTTAAGACCAAGAGGGCATTTTTAGGCACCATCACTTATGTAATGTACAGTAGATGTTTTTCTGCCCTTACATTAGCAACCTGTGTTTCTGTTCTTTGTCCCAGCAGATCTTGCACAGGAGCACGTTGGCGTTCAGACGGAGATTTTCACAGACCAGCATGTCTGTGACCAGGAGAGGAATTCCAGTCGGGGCCAGGAGGACCTGAAGGCTTCACAGATTAAAGTGGAAGAAAAGGAAGTCTGCATCAATCAGGAAGGAGGGCAGTTTGCACTGAAGCAGGAGAATGATGCTATTATGATGACACCAACTTGTGAAGAAAGTGAACCACAACCAGAAAGTGACCAGCCCCTCTCTAACAGTTCTGATATTTTCATGTTTGTTAATTCCACATCCAAAGAAACATTAGAAGTTATTAATAAGAGCGCTGACAATGAGGTAGAACTCAGCCATCAGCACAGACGTCTGGACAGCACCTGGAACCCCGTGGTGAAGCTCTACAGGATAGGTGCGTCTTTTTAACACCACAAAAAAAACATACACATAGATGTAAATCAGATAGGCTAACGGGGCTAACACAGCTAACTCTGAGTGCTAATAGCATCAGACTGTTTCAATCAATCTGTCAATCAATCAAGGCTTTATTCGCCACGTGCAGGTTGCCCCCCCGCCCCCGACCTTACACACACAACACAGACATCATATGGGGATACAGGTCGGAGATCGGTAGCGTTACAGAAAAAAACACTGAAATGTACACTACAATGGGAAAGTACAAGAGGAAAAAAAGAGACCTCTACTGATGCTGGGCTCCTGGGAGGACAGCATGAGAACAGGAAACAAAAAAACTCCTCTGCACAAAAAAGCACATAAATGTCCACAACACAACATTATGGAACACGTGACCAGCCACAGGGTCGGGTGGGGGCCTTCGCCGTCATCGAAGGCGTTTGGAAAGAGAGGGGGGGATGCATGGAATGGGAAGGAACAGACTAAACACAGTCGTTATCAGGGTGTTTTTGTCGCCTCCAGCCTTGCGACCGCAGCTGGCGCCGAAGGGGTATCCGTTTTAGAGAACAGACTGTGAGAGAGTGTTCCAGGGAAAAGTAATACAAAAACACACGAGACTAGACAAGGACATAAGAGGCTAAGCAGGGAAGCTGAGGGGGAGGAGGAGAGGAGAAAAGTGCGACCGCCTTCATCAAGAGCAAGAGCAGGAAAAAAAAAAGTTTGAAGGGGTTAAGTTTGAAATAAAATCTATCTGATTATTAGGACACCAACCGACCTCTTTACCATCAGGAAAGCCAACAACGAGCTAGACTCTGTAATTTGTACTTCTGCATCCACACAAATACTTGTTTGTTTCTACTAATTCTAAAAAAAAAACCTGTTATTTTTAGTCATAATGGTGAGAGTTAAACATCATGTCTTATTCTGAGTCAGAGTTTGGCGTAGTCAACATGAAAGCATGGATCCATGCTGCCTTTTATCGGTGGGTCAGGCTGTTGGTGGTGTGAAGGTGTGGGGGATAGTTTCTTGGCACACTTTGGGCTTCTCAGTACCAGCTGAGCATCGGTTAAACACCACAGCCTACCTGAGGACTGATGCTGACCCAGTCTGTCCCTTTATCAGCTCAGTGTGCTGATGTGATGTGAAAATGGACCAAAATCTAATAAAGACTTAAAGTAGTTCTGAAGGCAAAACGGGGTTAGCAGGGTGTAACTAATGAAGTGGCAGGTAAGTATATTTGCAGACGTGCTCCTAAATAGTCGCATGCGTCCAGTTTTAATCTCAGATATGAGTGAAACACTTGCGCTGTTGAGTTCTGCATGACTGACTTTTTCCTCTTCAGCCTGTTTGCTTCATGTGTTGAATCATAAACATGATTGGTGGAAACACGTTAACAGCCCAGCAGCTACCTAACAAGTTACCTGACATATTTACTTAGTGGCCTCGGAGCCATCATCGTGTCATACCTGTAACAGTTTACCTGCTCGTGAGAAGTTTTCCGTCATCTCATTAGTAACCTGTGGTTTGTTCCTGCAGATTTGCCACAGCAGCATGTCTGTGATGACAAGGAGATTCTCACAGACCAGCAGGTCTTTAACCAGGAATGGAACTTCAGCCCAGACCAGAAGGACCCGGAGCCTCCACAGATTACAGAGGAGCAGGCAGCAGTCGCTCTCAGTCACCAGGGAGAGCAGCTCGTACAGAATGAGGAGACTGACGCTGTTACGGTTCAGCCATGTTTGGGTCCTCCTGCCCATGAGCAGCCTAACACGGCCCCTGTTAAAGTCATTGTTCTCAGCACAGATTCTGATTTGGCTCTGAAAACCAAAACCTTCACAGGTGAGAAGCTGTATCGCTGCAACACCTGTGGAAAAACACTGAAAACCGTGTCCTCATTTAAAAGGCATAACGCCAGACACACAGGGGAGAGACCGTACACTCGCAACAGCTGTGGGAGAAAATCTAAAGGCTTGAGAGCTTTAAAAGGGCACGTGAAAACACAGCTGATCAGAAGCTCGTGTGTAACACCTGTGGCAAAAGGTACAAAAAGGAAATAACATTAAAACTTCATATGCAATGTCACACAGGTAAGAAGACAAAGGCCTGAAACATCGGCTGGAAAAACTGCCCGTGAAACGAGGCTTGATGGGAAAAAGTACGAATGTGTACAGGTTCACATGTGAGATGGTTCAATAAAATCTTGTTTTTGTTCTGTGTGAGGCTGCATGGTCATTTCTAGGCTGTGAAATTTCACATCCATGTCATGAATAATGCATATTATCAATTTAACGAGGTAAATTAATGATATGCCCAAGAACTGCACAGGTGCCCAGTACCTGGGTGGAGCCCTGGGACCCGGTTGTCGACTCATGGCCGGACTGTAGTGGGGGCTCTCTCGCCCTTTGGCACCCCATTAGGGGCCTTCCTCCCTCTGCCTCCTGCTGGGATGGGCGGATGTCGCTGAGATGTGTGGCCTTTGGTACGCTTGGGGGCTCGGATCGATCTCTGTCTGCCTCTGGCTCCTGGGATGTTATTGCAGTTTCCCACCCTCATTATCAA